CTCTGAAAACCACGCAGCTATGAGAATGCTATAGAGCCCAGTTCTACTCTGCACACATGGAGTTACCATGAGCCACTTGGGGTTCAGTGCCAGCAAATCCTTACACCCACCCCACCCTCAAGGAACCTCCAGTGCTGGAGCCGACACATAGGGACAGTGTACTTTACACAGGCTTTGAAAATCAACCTATCAGTCTTTGTGATTATAAGACTTTGTCTGGCATGAAAAAAATAATAACAATTAATACATTATCAAGGGTTTAGGAGAGAGGGGGGAAATATGAGGAGCTGAAACCAAGGGCTCAAGTAGGAAAAAAAAGTTTTGAGAATGATGATGGCAACAAATGTACACATGTGCTTGACTCAATGACCGTATATGTGTATTGTGATAAGAGCTGTTTGAGCCCCCAATAAAATGACTTTTCAAAAAAGAAAGAAAACGATGATGGAAACATATGCACAGATGTGATTGATACAAATGATGCATGGATTGTTATAAGAGCTGCAAGAGTCCTCAATAAAATGATTTTTTAAAAGAGTCCTCAATAGAATGATTTTCTAAAATGACGGTCAGGGCGATGAAAACTAGAAAGGGAAATCAGTGCTGGTTTTAAACTGCTTAGGAGCCGCCATCAAAACGCAGTGGTCTCCTCTGTTTTTCTGCTTCCTGTTTGTTCAAGGAAAGGTCCTGCAGGCACCGCATCCGAGGCCCTGCGGGAAACATCTCAGGAGATGGTGGTTCAGCGCTGCCTTGAGACAAATCACAGTCTCAGGCTCTCTAAGCTGCTGTGCTGTCATGAAGGGAGAGCGCGTCAACAGACCCTCCAGCCCACCCAGGAACACAGGGCTGACCCTTCGAGATAGTGAACGAGGGGGCAGTTCCAAGAAAGGCTGACACTCCTTGCCCAGTTATTCCCAACCCCGCAGGCCGCGTCTGCACACACTATCACTTATTTAACTTCTCTTCCCAAGGAGCCCTCTGGGCCGCAGCCCAGCTCCACGTCCAC